AAGTATGTGGTAAACTTTCACAACTCTTAGTACAAAACTCAAAACAGATCATCAAATAGGCTGTTTTTTCAAATCTTTAAGCACAATTGACTAATAAGTACAACACACAAAATCACACAGTAACTTTTTCACCAAACCTAATCAGTTTAATCTAGAAATACCTTTCATATAAAGTCATTGCCTTTCACAATGCAACACTCACAACACTTTTCATAAGATTCTCTTCTCATTTGTTTAAATAGAATTGGCCATCACTTAACCGTTTGGTTAACCTTTAGATTTTAAACTGGTTTGTCTACTATATATGGATTTTGAGATCTACAGAAATAAAATGTGTGTTTGTAAAGTATAAACATCTAAATGATATGTATGATACATGATAACCATACATAATAACTACACGTTATTGCTAATTGATTTCACATAGTGGTAACCACAATTGGTCACCATATAAAAGGGTGTGTGTGAACGCTTGCAATTTCTTTCAACATGGAGCAGGATAGACAGCAAGGGAGAGGAAAAAAACCAAAGAGCTTGTGGCCAAGGGGCCCGTCAGAGAGGTGGGCATGGGCCCCATCAAAGAGGTGGACATCAGAGGGAGGGAGACGGCAGGGAACTGTTGTGTCTAATGAAGTCTGGGCCATCGTCGTTGACCATGTGGTAAACCGAGGCATTACCATGGCAGAGGCTGCCAGATTAGATCACCCCAATCTGAAAATATAAACTGTCAATTCGATCATGAGAATATTTTGCCAAGAAAACCGGTAAATCTGCAGGATATGCATGCTTTACCATTACATTTACAATAAACGACGTATTGTAATGCATGTAAAGTCACAAAACATGTTACAGTATTCTTACAGTATGATCTATTGACAGTGTACTCTGTTCTACCCTCAGAATTGACAGAAGACCCCATTGTCGTGGCCGTGTGCAGAACGACCAGCAGTAGTGCCCAGTGGTGGAAATGGTGAGGGCCAGGAATGACATACGGCTTGTCTGAAATAAAGCAGGCCATTGAGGAGAACGATGACACCTTTGCCAATGTGGCATCCATCAGCCTACTATAAATCATCTGCCTTTTGAAACACATTTACCTTGTGCCTTTTGAGAGAAGCAACGACTGGGTGAAACAACTGCAGTATGTTCAGGTGTATTGCTATTAATACTACTTTACAATATTATATTGGAACTGTACTGTAAAAAGAACAAACCAAAACATATTTTTAGAGGGTGATGGTGCTTGATGCTGCCGTGAACCATCACAAGTGTATCTTTGTTGATGAAGCGGGCTTCAACCTGGCCAAAACTCGGCGCCGTGGGCGGAACCTCAACGGGCGACCATCCAAGTGCCTGGACAACGTGGGGGAAACGTCTCCATGTACACAGCTCTCTCTGAAGATGGTGTTGTAGGACGTAGGCCATTACTTGGATCATACAACGCTGCACACCTCATTGTGTTTCTCAATGAAATTGAGCAGGTCTGTCAAGGTGAAGGGGTCACCTATGTCATTGTGTGGGACAATGTCAGGTTCCACCATGCAGAGGTGGTTCAGGCATGGTTTCGGGCCCATTCCAGATTTGTGACCCTATACCTGCCCCAATACTCTTTTCCTCAACCCTATTGAGGGGGGAAAAAATTCAGCATGAAGGTGGAAGGTGTACAATCGCCATCCCCATGAGCGTGCCACCTCCTTCTGGCCATGGATGAGGCATCAATGCAGACCAATGTCAAGCTTGGATTCGCCATGCCAAAAGGTTTTTTCCCCTCAGTGCATGAACAATGAGGACATTCACTGTGATGTGGATGAGAATTTATGGCCAAATGTTCAAGACAGGCTTGATGCAAATTAATGCCTGCTAAACGCTGTTTTATTGTCATTCATTAAATGTTTTACATTTGATTAGACAGTACACCTATGTTGCAATTATATCTGAAAAATTAAATGGTTGTTTTGCATGAATTATTGTAGAGGATGTCTTCATTGATCACACCTTTGATTACACAATGGATAGATATAATGGAAATTATAGATTTTCTGTCAATTTTGTTGGGTAATGTAAGTGTATTGCCTAATGCGAAAACGGTGTAATTTACAGTACGGTAGCATATTACTTTCAGCACATCTGTAACGCTTGGAGTCGAAGCAAGTACAGGGAGTGAATTTAACAAATGGAACAAAACAATAGAACACGAGTAGCGTACAGACATGAAACAACGGAACAGAATCAACAACACCTGGTGAAAGAACCAAAGGGAGTGACAGATATTGGGGAGGTGATGGCGTCCAGGCGAGTCTCTCATGAAGCGCGTAACGATGGTGGCAGGTGTGCGTCATAGTGAGTGAACTGGCGACATCGAGCGCAACAGAGGAGGAGCGGGAGTAGACGTGACCATTTCTAAGGGCGATTTGAAACGCGTATCTTGCATTGTTTGCTATTGGATTAACTGGTAGTTCAAACCACTAAATTGAGAAGAGATCATGTTGCGTTTTGGTGACTAAACCAATGTTCTCATTACATTTCACAAACTTATTTTGAATCAATGGTTGTGTGGTGAGAGATGTTTACAATCCAAATGAACGCACAAGGACAGGTTTTGAATGAAAGACTGGCTGCGTTACAGGTGTGACTAGTTTGGAGTTCTGTACTAAGAGTTGTGAAAATGTACCACATACACTACTTTTGAAAATAGTACCAAATCGATCAAATTTAAAAAACGGAGCTAAAAAACATTAAGAACATCTGCTCTTTCCATGACAGACTGACCAGGTGAATCCAGGTGAACGCTATGATCCCTTATTGATGTCACTTGTTAAATCCACTTCAATCAGTGTAGATGAAGGGGAGGAGACACGTTAAACAAGGATTTCTAAGCCTTGAGACATGGATTGTGTATGTGTGCCATTCAGTGGGTGAATGGGCAAGACAAAAGATTGAAGTGCCTTTAAACGGGGTATGGTAGTAGGTGCCAGGCGCACAGGTTTTAATGTGTCAAGAACTGCAACGCTGTTGGGTTTTCCACGCTCAACGGTTTCCCGTGTGTATCAAACGACATCCAGACAACTTGACACAACTGTGTGAAGCATTGGAGTGTTTTGTACAGTCAGTGTATAATATTTTCTTAAAGTATAATTTTTTAGAAAGTTCTAATCTTACTGTCCCCATTGCGGGCCGTCAAATAAAGGCACTGCTTCGATATAAAGTTAATTTTTTTCAAAAATGAAAACGTGTCAGTTTGTCACGTTCACGAGGTTGGAGTAATAACATGTTCAGCTACTTCAGACATTGGCTCGAATCTAGGTTGTGCCTTTAGATTTCGAGAAAATTAACAACTAGATTAATTTTTCAGTTCTCCGATTGACTTCACAAACCCCAAACCCCTGTCTGGTCTGCCGAGTCTGCTTCGCAAAGAGTTCCCAAAAGTATTGCAATGTTGGGCCTCTGGGTTTAGAAACTCTGCTAAAGAGTTCGTATGCTAGATCGAGCTGGCTAATGTTAGCAACTAGCCATGCTAGCATGTAATTACATTCCAGACCGAGTGTTGGCGGGGGTGAGCTACTATTTACACCCACGAAGAAGAATCCGTATAAATCAGAGATACTGGGATATAATGACGAAGTGTTTGTGTCTCCGCCCTAACAATGGGATTTGTTGACCACAGAGCGGAACGGCGGGCTGTCCTCCCTCTTGAATATGCATAGACCGTCTCAAATTTCAACAGGGACAACTCCGATATAAAGTGTTTTTTTCTCAAAGTTGCCAGGATGAAATTACGACCCCATCCTCAGTAGCCTATTGGGCAACAGAAGCACTTCTTACCTCGAAATCGCCTCGCTATTCATGTTAAATAAATGAGTCTGTCAATTTGAACTAAGCAAACTGCTAAATCATTTATCTTACAACTTTCTGTAGCTCAGCTGGTAGAGCACGGCGCTTGTAACGCCAAGGTAATGGGTTCGATCCCCGGGACCACCCATACACAAAAATGTATGCACGCATGACTGTAAGTCGCTTTGGATAAAAGCGTCTGCTAAATGGCATATTATTATTATTATATTATTGCCAATGTAACTGTAAACTACCAGGGGCTATAGTCTACCTCCACCTAGCTAACCAAACCATGGCAAAATTGAATTACAATCATAAACCCAGATTTTAGTGAGGATGGCTAGCCTATACCTATTGAAATGACAAGTCAATGGCGCAAATAGGTAATTTATAACGGTTTATAACGGCTCATAACGGCACAATTGCCAGAAAATAGCCTAACATTCGTTTTTTGAAGTTCCTCCAAGTGTTTCTTGCACAGAGACTTCGAGTCCTCTGTCCATTTTCATCTCTCAAACTCTCCTATTGGATTGATCTATAGATATGCGCATTAGGGCATTATTTACAATCATAGCAGTTACATTTGTTAAATCGACATCCATTGATGAAAATGGTCTGGTGAGTTTAATAAAGGCGAATTATCTTTTCTCTTGCATTATTACTAGTCCCGTGTAGCTCAGTTGGTAGAGCATGGCGCTTGCAACGCCAGGGTTGTGGGTTCGTTTCCCACGGGGGGCCAGTATAAAAATGTATGCACTCACTAACTGTAAGTCGCTATGGATAAGAGCGTCTGCTAAATGACTAAAATGTAAAAAAAATATTCAAATTGTTTTATTAGTCACGTTAGCTCGCAATCATTATTATCTAGTTGGGAAAACGAATTTTGCGTCTTACTTTGTTACAAATTGCGTCGATATTCCTTCTTTAATTTGCTCGATAACGTTATGGTAAAATGGTTATTTGGCTAAATGTGGCACCTACTGGAAAATTGGGCTAGTTGTCAGGCATTGTGGGCGGATTTTGAGTAGGCATTTGAGCTAGACCTGGCAACCCTGCATCTACTCTTCTCATGTGCGTTTGGTAGTGGTAGTCGAGCAAGCAGTAGTTTTAATTTAAGACCCAACAGAGTTGTAAAAAGCACACCCCAACAGCTTTTTAAAAAGCTAAATATGCCAAGGAGGTGTATTGTTGCTGGGTGCAGTAACACCCACAAGGACGGGGTTACGACTCATTTGTGGCCCAAAGACGACAAACTAGCTTTGAAGTGGGACCAGTTTGTCCGGTTGACGCGAGCGGATTGGATTAAGGGAACCGCGGCCACTACTGTATGCGGTGCTCATTTCACCCCGGAGGACTTCGATGGCTATAATCAGTGGAAGGCAGGATTCGGAATGAGACTCCGACTGAAACCATGTGCTGTGCCGACCGTGAATGTGAAGCCTGCCATTGCAACCTCTGTTTCTGACCGACCTAACGTTACGTCAAAAACGTCATCCGTGATGAAGATAAACCGGGTAAATTCAATGTGGTAAACTTCTAATATAGTTAGCGACACTTGACTAATGTAGCTACGTATTTTGCCAACCACCATTTAAAATTGTATTTCATTTTGTAAATGTATTCACCCCTGTCCAGTTGGTGGCAATAATACATATATTTCCGTGAAGTTCGCCATAAAATATCACCGAAGAAGAACTGCTTTCATCTGTTCTTTAACTTTAGGCAATGACGAGCAAAAAAAGCAAGAGAGATTGTGCAGTAGTTGGCTGCAAGGCAGCAAATGTTTCTTTGCACGGTCTTCCAAACGAACAGTCACTTCGTCTGATTTGGCTTCGATTTATTTTTAATAATCAAGTGCCAGAGAAGTTAAGTCCGAACCTGCGCATATGCACAGGACACTTCACATCGGACTGCATTACAAATCTGACTAGGTACACAAGTGGATTTGCCAATAGTTTGATCCTCCGTCAAGGTTCTGTCCCATCCATCTTGCACCCGGCAGCAGCAACCATTCAAGAAGTAGGTGTCTAGGTTAGATAGTTGTTGTTCTATTATTACAAGTAAAGGACATGCTATAGCTTGTGATTCAGCTGCTAGCTAGCTAACGTTAGCTTAGCTGCACTTGACGTGGTGGTCCATCAACACAATCAATCATAGTCTTTGCCAGCAGCAATCGTGAAAGAGTCCTAAAACAATGTTGACAGGGGGTTATTGCTAACTGGCTTAGGCATCTACCGTCACTACAGGTAATGTTAACTAGCTTAGGTATTTACCGTTGTCGGTACTACAATAACCTCACCGGCCAGTTTATTATGTACACCCATCTAGTACCAGGTCGGACCCACTTTTGCCTCCAGAACAGCTTGAATTCTTAGGGGCATTCTACAAGGGGTCGGAAACGTTCCACAGTGATGTTGGTCCATGCTGAAGCAATGGCATCACGCAGTTGCTGCAGATTGGACGGCGGTACACTCATGCTGCGAACAGCCCATTCCATCTCATCCCAGAGATGCTCTATTGGGTTGAGGTCTGGGGACTGCGCAGGCCACTCAAGTAAACTGATTTCGCTGTCATGATCCAGGCGATGTTTTTCCACTCCTCAAATGTCCAGTGTTGGTGATCGGGTGCCCACTGGAGCCGCTTCTTCTTGTTTTTATCTGATAGGAGTGGAACCCGGGGTGGTCGTCTGCAGCAACAGCCCATCTGTGACAAGGATCGACGAGTTGTGTGTTCCGAGATGCCGTTCTGCACACCACTGTTGTACTGCGCTGCTATTTGTCTGTTTGTGGCCCGCCTGTTAGCTTGCACGATTCTTGCCATTCTCCTTCGACCTCTCTCATCAACGAGCTGTTTTCACCCACAGGACTGCCGCTGACTGGATGTTTTTTGTTTGTCGCAACATTCTTGGTAAACCCTAGACACTGTCGTGCATGAAAAGCCTAGGAGGGCAGCCGTTTCTGAGATACTGGATCCGGTGTGCCTGGCACCAACGATCATACCACGCTCAAAGTCGCTTAGGTCACTCGTTTTGCCCATTCCAACGTTCAATCCAACAGTAACTGAATGCCTCGATGACTGTCTACCTTATTTATATAACAAGCTACGGCCACATGACTCACTGTAGGTGCGATCCATTTTCATGAACGGGGTGGTGTACCTAATAAACTGGCCGGTGAGTGTATATTGGAGACAGAGGGTAAGTGAATTTGATTATTTGAAAACAAACATATCAAATACACTCTGTTACAGACATGCATTCTGAAGAATCATGTAAACAGTAGCCACTCCACCATGTTGCAATAGAGAGCAATAGTAATTACGTATTTTTGTAGGCACTAACTCCGCCATGGGTCGTTGGCCAAAGCCTGTGGGGAAATGAATGGGGTTTTTGGATAAATGCCAAAAATAAGGTCTGTGGTAAACACAAGCTTAGGATATCTTATACGTTTTGTTCTATGAGATAATCTTAATCAGCTAATGTCACTATGTGAATTTTAAAGCATTTATGGCATTTTTTTAAAAGCTCAAACGCTTCATAAAGGTCATGTTAACTGACAGATATTGTCTCATAGAACAAAACCTTTTAAGATCTAAGCCTGTGTTAACCTCAGACCTTATTTCCGGCGTTTATCCCAAAACCCCATAGGAATGGCTGAATGAACCAGAGGTAACTCATTTCCGGTTTTTAGGACTACAAGCTGGCCAGCTCTATTATTATATATTTTTTTTAACCTTGATATTTTACTAGTTGACTGGACACGTTCTCATTTACAGCAACGACCTGGGGAATAGTTAAAGGGATGAATGAGCCAATTGGAAGCTGGGGATGATTAGGTGGCCATGATGGCCAGATTGTGAATTTAACCAGGACACCAGGGTTAACACTCTTACGATAAGTGCCATGGGATCTTTAGTGACCACAGAGAGTCAGGTCATCCGAAAGACAGCACCCTACACAGGGCAATGTCCCCAATCACTGCCCTGGGGCATTGGGATATTTTTTAAGACCAGAGGAAAGAGTCCTACTGGCCATCCAACACCACTTCCAGCAGCATCTGGTCTCCCATCCAGGGACTGACCAGGACCAACCCTGCTTAGCTTCAGAGGCCAGCCACGAGTGGGATGCAGGGTGGTATGCTGCTGGCTCTATATGGTCTGGCTCCAGCAGATACCTTCTCAGGACACAGATGCTGTGAGACATACGAGCTCAGACAGGTCTAATGTTGCCAGCATAGGCGGCGCATGAGTTTCAAGTTTGGGGAAGCTAATTTTCACCACCAAAATGCACCTTTATAATAAAGTATTCCATGCATCATCGCATTTGCAGACTTATGTAAGATAGCCTACTATTCGTAATGTGATGATTAGATTGGATAGTCATAATTTAGGCTAATCGTATAATTCAATCACTGTTCGCAAAAAAGACAGTTCAATGCATGGCTGAGCACATACAGCGTACAGTAGGCCTAGGCTATATCAGATACATTTCTTCTTTCTTTGCACAGGAAAGAATGTGGCTTAGATTAGCAGAATCTTTTTTAATACGACAAATGACAGGGTAGCCTACTCTGCTGATGCTGACAAACATGTTCAATAAAAACAACGTTGTCCATATAATAAGCCTACGAGAAGGGGAGACACAAATAGAACATGAGGTCCATCTAACCTGGAGGAGGAAATTAGACCTATTGTCCAAAAACAAACTTTAAGTGGCACTGACCCAACACTGATAAATAGTGTATATGTGAGGTACCACTCACTGGGGATATGGCCGCTGCTCTCCGCTGGTGCCAATAAGATAGTCTATACTGTTGTTCGCTCAACTAAGTTGATAGCCTAACTAAAAGACAATCTGTTCATCTTCTTCTCGTTACAGCGATAACCATTTTGCTCTCTAAACTACATTGTGTTTTGAATTATTGCGATATACCTGGCTGGGCCTCTACTTTGCACTGACAGTCGCAACTCAACAATCATCTACACTGAACAAAAATATAAACGCAACATGTAAAGTGTTGGTCCCATGTTTCATGAGCTGAAATAAAAGATCCCAGAAAATGTTCTCTCAAATTTTGTGCACAAATTTGTTTACATCCCTGTTAGTGAACATTTCTCCTTTGCCAAGATAATCCATCCACCTGACAGGTGTGGCATATCAAGAAGCTGATAAGCCGATAAGATGTTTGCGTTGTTTTGTTTAGGTGGAAAAAGTGACGTTGGGCGTGACGACAAAAGATGAGGGATGTCAATATGAAACACCAGCATGCAACATTATAGCACCACCACCTCCAAGATGTGTTCTGGTAAAACACCACGTGTCAACACAGTCTTATTACTACAGAGAAGAAAAGAGAAACAAAGGTGATATGGCTTGTATCTTTTTGTAGAATCATTTCCTCCTTTTCAATTACAGCTGGATTGAATTGTTGTTTAACATGCTACTGTATTGTTTTGATTTACAGCCGTCCAAGTGTGGCCAATACGGAAGAATGTCGGAGTCAATACTTCATTTACGGAGGACATACCACGAAAGGAAGTGAACCGGTATATACATTTAGTTTTGTTAAAGTAGCCTGTGGGGAACTATTGTAAATTAATTGGCTAATGACTGTTGGGCCCATAGCCTAAGTAATCTCTGACCACCTGTCCTCCTAATCTACGAGCGACTATTCAACTGAAAAATTGTCATACAAATATGCATAATTACTTTTGACCTGTCTCACCATCTGGCCTGCTTGCGAAGCCTGATCTGTGGTAGCCTGTGATTATAAATTAATCCATCATGTTCTTCCAGTTTACACTCTGTTGCGGTGTACATGGCCAGGAAGTACGTGGTCTACGAAGACTGCCTCCTTCCGTTGTTCAAGACTTGTCCGGTCTGTCGCGGCTCCTGCAGCATCGACAAGTTCATCCAAGACACCCTGCTCACCATCAACCAGTTCTGCAACCACTGTGACCACCGGAGCCAATGGAAGAGCCAGCCCTTTAACCTCCCAGCTAGATACCTGTCCTCTTCAGCAGCCACATCATCGACTGGCAACAACTGGCACTACTGGCACATCCACCGATGCTCTGACTGACTCCTCAACTGGCCCATCAACTGGCACCTTCGATTCTCAGACCCTGAAGGTAGCCTATATAATTCTTCACTATACAATGCATTGATACAAAATACACACAAGCCATAAAAACAACCCACTTTTTAATGGGGAGGTGTTAGTCAAGTTAACCGTTAACTACAATTGTCATCAGCCATGGCTACCTCATTTGAACTAAGTGAAGTCAGGAGGTTGGTAGTGTTCTTGTTCATAAACAAAATAGGTTGAGATGCATTTGTAGAATATTTAATATTTGGGGAGGTTTGGTGGGGGGGGGGGGGGGGTCTTCATTGTGGTACTGTCTAGCCAGTAGTTAAGTGTAACTATTGGTAGAGGAGTTGCTCATTATTGTTCATTGTCTTTGTAGACAGCGGAGGACAGTGATCTTCTGTTGGAGAATTACGATGGCGATATCTGCAACAAGGGTCTGGAGGACATTCAAACCCTGGTGTTTGAGACAACTTTTCGTATGGGTGATGACTCCCATGACGACAAAGCCATTAAGAAGAAACGTCAACGTCAGTCCTTGGAGGAGGAACAGGAAGAGGAGGAGGAACAGGAAGAGGAGGAACAGGAAGCGGAGGAAATGAGTGAGGAGGAGGAGACTAGGGAGGAGGAGAACTCCGATGTGGAGTGGGAACCTGAGGTTGAGTTAAGTGACCTTCTAGCCTCCGATTCCGAATGGGATTCCCGGGCGCTCTGCCCGGATTGTGGCACGTTTATCAAAGGCTCCAAGGCTCACGTCTGCGAGCATGCCAAGCCATTTGTCTGCCAGGACTGTGGCAAGCGGTTCGTTAACGAGACCTCTCTCAACATTCACCAAAGAATCCACAAGCCAGGCTACGTGCACGGGTGCAAGTACTGCCTCAAGCCGTTCCAGAGCAGGCCGGAGAAGCTGAGGCATGAGGAGAGCCACCCGCGTGTAGAAAAGCCCTACGAATGCCCCGACTGCCCCATACGATTCAGCGACATTAAAGCCCGGGACGGCCACCTTCAAAGCCACAGAGGGCCCACATGGTACATTTGCGACATCTGCAAAATGGAGTTCACGGGGAGTAGCTACCTGGAAAGACACATGCTAGTCCACAGCGGGGAGAAGCCCTACACATGCCCCGAGTGCCAGCGCTCCTTCAACCAGGCGAGCCACCTCAAGTCTCACATGCGCGTCCACACTGGCGAGCGGCCCTACAAGTGCCGGCATTGTGACAAGTCCTTCAACCACAATGTGAGTCTGAAAAGCCACGTCCAGCGCTACCATCCGGACCCTGCCTCTGGGACCAAGGAGAAGAAAGAGGGACAGGAGCCAGTCTCAAACTCAGAGACTCCGACTGAACAACAGGTAGTGATCGAGGAGAGTCGACAGACTGAACAACAGGTAGTGATCGAGGAGAGTCGACAGACAAATGCAGGGACCGGGCAGAAACGAGTGAAGAGGGCAGGGAGGAAGAGGAAACGTCCGACCTTTGACCCTGAGGAGTTGGGGGAGTGTGAGCGTAACAGTGACTCCGACTTCAACCCAGAAGAGGAGGAGAGTGAGAGCAACAGTGACTCTGACTTCAAACCAGGGGCAGAAGAGAGCGGGAGCAACAAGAAGACTACAGGCAGACCAATAGGCAGGCCGAGAAGAAGACCAGGGACCACCAGAGAGATGTATACAGGAAGTGTGAATGAAGAGCATGATGGATCCAACCTGAATGAACAATGGGAGGAGGAAGAGGAGGACAGGGGGACCAAAATGAAGGCCACAAGCAGGGGGAGAGGAAGAGGGAGAGGCAGGGGGAGAGGTAGACCAAGAACCATTGGAGAGATGCATGAGGGAACTGCTTGTGAAGAGCGTGATGGATCAAACCTGAATGAACAAGTACCATCAATAGAGACTGCTCTTTCTGAACTTTTTGAGAGTTGTTGGCCAATTCAAAATGTAGATGAGGCCTTTGACCCTGAGGTACACTAACTGCTAGTTACTGAGGAGTTGTCCCGTTTCAGTTCTTTCCCCCTATATTTTCTATATTTTTTTACACGTTGAAGAAAATGAAAAATACTGTTATGAAGCGACACAAACGTTCATAAGGTTCAAGATCTTACTCTAAAGAGTAACTCTGTGTTGTTGTTTTTATCGCACTGCTTTGCTTTATCTTGGCCAGGTCGCAGTTGTAAATGTGAACTTGTTCTCAACTGGCTTACCTGGTTAAATAAAGGTTAAATAAAATAAAATAAAAGATGGGTCAGCAAGGAAACTACCATGCGTCCCAAATTGTACCCTATTCCCTATATAGTGCACTACTTTTGAACAGCCTACATTGCATTGATTGCAGACACCGTTGCGTTGAGCCATGGTCATAAGCCTACCACCTGATTCCTTATGTTCAACATTTGTGTTCTAGCTAACTTTACTTAAGTCTACATCATCAGTTATGATCAGTTAAGAAAAACTACAGACGTGCCTCCAATACTTTGTCGTTGATAAGTGGTTATCTTGGATTGTAATTGTGATTCGTATCATTTACAGACAAGATCGTAATAAACGTAATGATAAACCGGGTCGTTCGAGCCCTGAATGCTGATTGGCTGAAAGCCGTGGTACAGTGGGGAAAAAATGTATTTAGTCAGCCACCAATTGTGCAAGTTCTCCCACTTAAAAAGATGAGAGGCCTGTAATTTTCATCATAGGTACACGTCAACTATGACAGACAAAATGAGAATTTTTTTTCCAGAAAATCACATTGTAGGATTTTTAATGAATTTATTTGCAAATTATGGTGGAAAATAAGTATTTGGTCAATAACAAAAGTTTCTCAATACTTTTATATACCCTTTGTTGGCAATGACACAGGTCAAACGTTTTCTGTAAGTCTTCACAAGGTTTTCACACACTGTTGCTGGTATTTTGGCCCATTCCTCCATGCAGATCTCACATTTACATACATTTTAGTCATTTAGCAGACGCTCTTATCCAGAGCGACTTACAGGAGCAATTAGGGTTAAGTGCCTTGCTCAAGGGCACATTTACGTCATTTAGCAGACGCTCTTATCCAGAGCGACTACAAATTGGTGCATTCACCCTATAGCCAGTGGGATAACCACTTTACAATTATACTTTTTTTTTTTTTTTGGGGGGGGGGGGGGGGGGGTAGAAGGATTACTTTATCCTATCCCAGGTGTTCCTTAAAGAGGTGGGGTTTCAAATGTCTCCGGAAGGTGGTGAGTGACTCCGCTGTCCTGGCGTCGTGAGGGAGCTTGTTCCACCATTGGGGTGCCAGAGCAGCGAACAGCTTTGACTGGGCTGAGTGGGAACTATGCTTCCGCAGAGGAAGGGGAGCCAGCAGGCCAGAGGTGGATGAACGCAATGCCCTCGCCTGGGTGTAGGGACTGATCAGAGCCTGAAGGTACGGAGGTGCCGTTCCCCTCACTGCTCCATAGGCAAGCACCATGGTCTTGTAACGGATGCGAGCTTCAACTGGAAGCCAGTGGAGTGTGCGGAGGAGGGGGGGTGACGTGAGAGAACTTGGGAAGGTTGAACACCAGACGGGCTGCGGCATTCTGGATGAGTTGTAGGGGTTTAATGGCACAGGCAGGGAGCCCAGCCAACAGCGAGTTGCAGTAATCCAGACGGGAGATGACAAGTGCCTGGATTAGGACCTGTGCCGCTTCCTGTGTAAGGCAGGGTCGTACTCTCCGAATGTTGTAGAGCATGAACCTGCAGGATCGGGTCACCGCCTTGATGTTAGCGGAGAACGACAGGGTGTTGTCCAGGGTCACGCCAAGGCTCTTCGCACTCTGGGAGGAGGACACAACAGAGTTGTCAACCGTGATGGCGAGATCTCCTCTAGAGCAGTGATGTTTTGGGGCTGTCGCTGGGCAACCCGGACTTTCAACTCCCTCCAAATATTTTCTATGGGGTTGAGATCTGGAGACTGGCTAGGCCACTCCAGGACCTTGAAATGCTTCTTACGAAGCCACTCCTTCGTTGCCCGGGTGGTGTGTTTGAAAGACCCAGCCACGTTTCATCTTCAATGCCCTTACTGATGGAAGGAGGTTTTCACCCAAAATCTCACGATACATGGCCCCATTCATTCTTTCCTTTACACGGATCAGTCATCCTGGTCCCTTTGCAGAAAAACAGCCCCAAAGCATGATGTTTCCACCCCCATGCTTCACAGTAGGTATGGTGTTCTTTGGATGCAACTCAGCATTCTTTGTCCTCCAAACACGACGAGTTGAGTTTTTACCAAAAAGTTCTATTTTGGTTTCATCTGACCATATGACATTCTCCCAATCCTCTTCTGGATCATCCAAATGCACTCTAGCAAACTTCAGACGGGCCTGGACATGTACTGGCTTAAGCAGGGGGATACGTCTGGCACTGCAGGATTTGAGTCCCTGGCGGCGTAGTGTGTTACTGATGGTAGGCTTTGTTACTTTGGTCCCAGCTCTCTGCAGGTCATTCACTAGGTCCCCCCGTGTGGTTCTGGGATTTTTGCTCACCGTTCTTGTGATCATTTTGACCCCACAGGGTGAGATCTTGCGTGGAGCCCCAGATCGAGGGAGATTATCAGTGGTCTTGTATGTCTTCCATTTCCTAATAATTGCTCCCACAGTTGATTTCTTCAAACCAAGCTGCTTACCTATTGCAGATTCAGTCTTCCCAGCCTGGTGCAGGTCTACAATTTTGTTTCTGGTGTCCTTTGACAGCTCTTTGGTCTTGGCCATAGTGGAGTTTGGAGTGTGACTGTTTGAGGTTGTGGACAGGTGTCTTTTATACTGATAAGTTCAAACAGGTGCCATTAATACAGGTAACGAGTGGAGGACAGAGGAGCCTCTTAAAGAAGAAGTTACAGGTCTGTGAGAGCCAGAAATCTTGCTTGTTTGTAGGTGACCAAATACTTATTTTCCACCATAATTTGCAAATAAATTCTTTAAAAATCCTACAATGTGATTTTCTGGATTTTTCTTTCTCAATTTGTCTGTCATAGTTGACGTGTACCTATGATGAAAATTACAGGCCTCTCTCATCTTTTTAAGTGGGAGAACATGCACAATTGGTGGCTGACTAAATACTTTTTTTCCCCACTGTATATCAGACTGTATACCATGGGTATGACCAAAAATTACTTGTGCCTTATTGCTTAAATATAGTATGTTTATTTTACTTTAATTATTAAATTGAATAGTATTACTGCTACATTTTCTAACATTTTTGAAACCCACCCCCAAAATCTAGACTTTCATAAACCTTACCATACAAACAGTTAAAAGTAGACTGCAATATTGATATGACCATTCAAAGTGATCACTCTTACTCTGTGATGCTTTATGAATACGGGCCCTGGGGTAAGGTGAACAGTCAGTTACATTGCAGATAGAAAATGTCCACTGACCTGCTCATGAAAGCCTGCTGGTGTAAGTCTTGGGCTTCCCTGATGTTCTCAGTGGGCCGGACCCAGGTGAGTAGAGGTCTCGTCTTCGCTGTCCTTCTCTCTCTCTCTCCAAATGCTGATCCAGGAGCTGTTGCAGCTTACACTTCCCTTTGGAGAAACCACACAGAAATGAGGTTAGCACACATACACTACTTAATGTGGCAATGCCAGGTTCTGTTACAAGTGTACAAAACATTAAGAACAACTGCTGTTTCAATGACAGACTGACCAGGTGAAAGGGGCGGCAGGTAGCCTACCGGTTAAGAGTGTTGGACCAGCGGACGGGTATGTGTCAAGAACTGCAACGCTGCTGTTTTTATTTTAATTTCCCGTGTGTATCAAGAATGGTCCACCAGCCAAAGGACATCCAGCCAACTTGACATAACTGTGGGACGCATTGGAGTCAACATGGGCCAGCATCCCTGTGGAACGCTTTCGACACCTTGTAGAGTCCATGCCCCGACGAATTGAGGCTGTTCTGAGGGCAAAAGGGGGTGCAACTCAATATTAGGAAGGTTCTTAATGCTTTGTACACTCAGTGTATATTTTGCTTACATGAAGTGTATAGTGTGTTTGAGAAGTTAGTTGCTGTAATATTTTTGTTGTACTTTTTAGTGATATCCAATTGGTAGTTACGGTCTTGTCCCGTCAACTCCCGTGCAGACTTGAGAGAGGCGAAGGTCGAGAGCCATGCGTCCTCCAAAACACGACCCTGCCAAGCCGCACTGTTTCTTGACACACTGCTCGCTTAACCAGCTGCACCAATGTGTCGGAAGAAACACCGTACAGCTGGTGACCGAAGCCAGCGTGCATGCGCCCGGCCGCCACAAGGATTCGCTAGGGCACGATGGGACAAGGACATCCCAGCCAGCCAAACCCTCCCCTAACCCGGACGACGTTTGGCCAATTGTGCGCCGCCTCATGGATCTCCCGGGCGCGGCCGGCTGCGACACAGCCTGGGATCGAACCTGGATCTGTAGTGACGCCTCTAGCACTGATCAGTGCCTTAGACCGTTGCGCCACTCGGGAGGCCTCTGCAAAACTTCTTTACTGTTTTACAGCAACTAACTCTACTTTTCAAACACTATACGTAAGCAAAATATACAGGGATGCTGGCTCCAATGCTGTTGTAGCTGATAGAACACACTCAGTGTTTCTAAACTCCATTCCTGGGGGATGCCCAGAGGACCAGTTGACTCGGGCGTGTTAGGGCTGGGCTAGAACAAATATGTGCATCTGCTCCCTCCCAAGAATGGATTATGAAACACGTGTGTATTCAGGGATGTGAAAAGCTCTGAACATTACAGATAGAAATAGAATGAATAGAGCTGACACGATTCCCTATTCTATCTGACAGACATCATTCCCCTATATCATGTTTTGTTTGTTTTGTGTTCTGAACTTAATTCCTGTCTCTCAACCTGGTGAGCGTGTGTAGGTGGTGTTGACGGCCTGGCTTTGTCAGAGGCGTGCTGTCCAGAGGGCTGAAGGCGCTGTGTGTCCTCTGTCTCTCTCCTCTCCTCCGCAACAACACTGCCCTCCTCACCAGCTGGGCCTGGACCTCTGGGTCCGGCCCCACTAGATTCAACCTCCACTGAGAAAGGATATTAACCCCTTATTGACCTGTTGTTAACCCATTATACCAGCAGCAGACGGGCAGCATTTTATGTTTTGATAAAGGATCCAAAAGTGTGTGGAG